TGACCAATTGCCAGGCAATATTTGACCTTTTCAAACTTTCTCTTGGCGAAACGCCGAAGGGTGAGTGTTCGAATCCAGACGGGGCGCCGATAATTTTTTTTTTAGTGTTATCATTGTGACATTCTCATCAATAATTTATCACTGTAAAGTGCTAAGCAAACATGTTTTAGCAGATGAATGATAGGTAAACTTTTAGAATGAGCAACACTGGTGCAAGCCGTACAAGAATGGTTCAGAAAGGAGACATTTTCGCACTTTATTTCGTCTTTATTAGGGAATTAACAGTAATAATCTGACAGCCATATGGTAATAACTGAAGACAATTGATTTATCAGACGGTGATGGTTGTATTAATTCCTTCGTCGAGTAATATACATACACATATAATGTATCATGTGTTGTATATAAAGGACTGGATATGTAATGGTGAAGATTATTTCGCAGAAAATGTGAATATGTAATACATGCACTCTTTGGCCTTCATTTTCTATGGCCGCTTAAATTGGTAAATAAATAGAGGCTCGATTCTGTTAGAACTTAAATGAAAGCCTGAAGTACCTGTTCTTTGTAGCAGATTCGAACCTGGGAAATTTCTACCAGGTAGACATGCCTCTCCCTACCCACTTCACCGGCCCTGGAATGCGGAACGCCGCATGAACGAAAGTTGTTAGATTTGCACGCTTTATATATCCAAAAGACGAGCTCTGCCTTAAGAACAGTACAGTTGAAACATATTCATTTATTCACCTATTGCGTGAACTATAATCTTTCTTCCTCGGAAGAGAAGAAAATAGTGTAGTAACATAGGGAATAGCTCATTACACTATAGATTGAAATCATGTGAAGCACAAGACTTTCGATAAGTGTACTGTGCCAATTTAATTTGTGTATATCCGAAGCAAATACATAACATAATGAAAAATTTATGAGCCATGGATTGCGGAATTTATCCAAAGATATACCATCAGCATATTTGAATATGAATATACTTTGCGAATTCCGAACTCAAATCAATTTGGAATTTTGTTGATATAAATTGTATTTTGAAGTGTGAAGCTTAGAGATTAGTGAACACAACTATTTTCTGATGTAAATAAGAATCGTGCCAGGAATTCAATAAATAATACAATCAAATTGTGCATGCCAACAATAAAAAGGACTAAGTCTGCCTGTGTTGGTAGGGCTACTACGAGCCACACACTCTCGGGCGTGATCCCACTACTGCTCGACACGGGTGCTTTTGGCTGCTGGGTTTCCCCCCTGGCCCGGTTCACACCTCCTTAGTCAACCTGGACGCCCTTGGCTCCCCAAGGGTGGCCATATTGATGCCAAGCTTAGTGCGGACACCCAATCAACATGGGTGATCCCGCAACAGTGATCCCAACCTCAAGCCATCCTATAGTCCAAGCTACCGAGTCGCCGGTTTACAGAGCCTCGCCACAGACCCCAGCGATTATGTGCTTGAAAGGACTTATAAATTTTACATTCCATATATCTCTTTTCTTTGCTTAAAATAGGCCCCGGCTGGTTATATGGAGCATTCATACAATCATTCTATATACAAAACATAAAACTTTCTTTGTATGCTTTTATACAATGTGTATGTGCATACAACAATATGTTGTATGCATTTATACACTATGTATGTAGTTTGGTACATTGATAGCAGGCGGGTAGTTATGTAGACAGGGAGGTAGATACATAGGTTTATTGGTAAGAGCATAGACATGTAGATATAAAAGTTTCTGATACTGTATCGCTTCATCCGTCTATATATGTGGTCGTATATTGCTGTGAAAATATATCACCATTTGTTTAGCGCAAAGACGGGATTCGAACCACCCCACTACACGGTATGTTCCAAACAATGTTGCATGTATTTCTAACATATGTAAATGTCTCTCTGTCATTCTGTCTTCATTGGCAATTAGATTACAAGAATGCGACAAGAAAAAATGTGTCAGGTGCCGCAAGTGCGACAGTGCCTTGACAGTATATGTGTTGTCCGTCCTTATCAAGGGGAGTGCTAACTTTCTCTCCTTTCGTACAACACAGTCGTAGTTTCGGTCGAGCGGCATCTGCTACCTCAGGAGAGACACAACCTCCAATGAAAGACATAGAATGCACTTTTATTCAAGGTTACCACTACTAATTAATCGAGCGTAATGATACTGATGGAAGTGAAGTACGAAGTTTATAACTGTAGTATGTTTCGCTAGCAATATATCTTACTCGTGCTGTATATCGGGTGTTTACAGAAATCATTAAAACTTGGCATTAGGGCCTTCTTTAAACATAATTTGTGTAGTTATTCGTGATGATATGCATACTAATTGATCTGCATATATTTTTTATCATTGTAGTTATCAATTTTTAATTCAATAAAAGAATTCTGTTTTCGCAGAAAGCAATTACCGCTAAAAATGAAAACTGTTTCATTTTAGTCGACACCGACAACATTCACGGTCCACTGTTTCATCTAGTGTTGTTTATTGATTTATTAATCTATTATATATATAATAGAAAGGGGTCTAGAGGTGCATAGTCGCCAGGGGCTCAATTAATAGGCCTACCTGACCTCCCTAGTTTACCACATTCCTTGAATTTTCCGAAGATTTATAATTACCATTGTTATTAATATTACCATCATTGTCATAAACATCAGCTTCACATCTTCATTATTATAGCATTAATATTTGATATTGTTCAATTAATATTTTTGGAAAGCGGTAAGTAGGTGAGGTTCGGTCAGGAAAGAAAAACGTGGTGACTAAGTACTTGTGAGAGGTGTCTATGTAATAAATTAGATAGAAATAAACGGAAACAGCTTTTAGATATAATAGGGTAAGTAATTTATACCTATTTATTCATTTATATTTTTATCCATAACCCGGTTGAGGACTCGAACCCTTGAAGTTTCCATGCATCAGGTCCTCCCCTCCCGTCCCCTACCTCTCATCCCCTCCTATCGAAACGGGGATCTATAAGATATGGCAGAATTTGACAGAAAAAAGGCTGAAGAATGTTAGAAAATAGAATATAGAAACCATCGTAGTTCGAGCTTATCCCAGAGGACATAAACTGCATGTTGAGGCTAAGCAGTGCATATAGGGGGGTGGGGGGGGTAGTACACCACGCACCACCTAAAACGTCGGGGCGCGAATTCCCGCCACCCGCATACATCGGCCCAAAATACAGCTCTATTAGTTAATAGCGCGATGAATACTTTATTGAAACGGGTATAATTCTGCAATACGAACAATTAGATGTATGCGGTCAAAAATGTGGAACGCTTCACGATTTTGCGTGTCATCCTTGCGCAGGGGCCATGCTAATCTTCTCTGTATCGTTCCAATTTTAGTATATGTACTGCCGAAGCAAGTACACTATGTTGCCGAGTTTTAGGAAATTTTGAAGTTCCCATAGCAAGGGTTTTCATCTTTGCTTCGTTGTGAGATATGTGTTAGACACATTAACCGATATCATCATGAAACTCACAGCAATAACTGAATATATTCGGCCGGTTTGTTAAAATTTTACTAAGCCCGAGTAACTGAACATTCACTGTACGGACATACATATACACAATAATAAATACAAATCTCTTAGTCTAGACATGCATATCTACGGTATAAATAGATAAATGTATGCGCGTGCGTGTATTTATATTTATATGTAGGTATGTGTGTATATGTAAAGTATGTATATGTAGATCTGCGTGTATGTGTATAAATGTATGTGTATATGAATATATGTATGTTTATATTTCTGTATACATATATATTTTACAGTATATGAACACAGAGGCAATAATGATACAAGTATTCCATGTTCTTTTTTTTTTTTTTTTTTTTTTTTTGCCATCTATCATTACCATTATCCAATGATTTTCAAAATTAGATATTTTTATGGACACTGGAATCCGCTAAACCATATATCAGCAAAGGGCAGCAGATCAAACAATACAAGCAAAATTTAGCTTAAGTTAAATGTCATTTTAACTTCCATTTCAGATGTATGATTAGTAGGAACAAATTTAATATCAATCATATTTCAATGTCTACAGTCTTACTGTCACATGTTACATAAAAATGGGAAAAATAAACAAGGGTACTGTAAAGCCATGTGCTCACAAGATCTATTAATATGTGTTTGTATTTTTATGTGTATATGTATTTATGCATATAGATGTATACATATGCATGTATATATTAAGTATATATATAATCACACGTGTATGCGCAATAATGTCATGTGATATATACGATGCTTCTACCGCTGCCATCTAATAGCTATTATCAAATGGTTTTATTCTTTCAAATATGAACACTGGAATCCGTCAAATAGTTTTTCCAATTGGGGTTCAGTTCCACTAAGTTTTAGAAGACTGTGATACCAGTTCTATCATTATAAGGAATACATTTAATATCCTTCATATTTCGACATCCAGTGTTGATCAAGATGTTACATAGATAGGCCTATGGAAATTAAGTGTACTGTTAAGCCATAGATAAGAAAAAAAATGCGGAAACGTTTGAAGTAGTCGGGAAACGAACGATCGACCCCCACATGTTCGGTCAGGATGATACAGGTGATACATTATGATTACTACGTTCAAGAATGTTTAAAACGAAAGCCAACATAACGTAATGCAGTTTCTGCGATAAAAAAAAAAAAAATTGGAAAGCTTCACGATTTTGTGTCAACTTGGCAAGAGCCATGCTAATTTCTGTATCGTTCCAATTTTAATATATGTAGGCCAAAGCAAGTACCACAGATAGTCTTTCATGAAATTATAAATGTCAGTGACTTTTACCTTGCGTTAATAGCAGTGTGAAGTGGCAATGTATATGGATAAAAAGCCTTTCATTGGTCATAGTTATAAATGTTACATTTATCTGCATTGTTTTTTTTTTCTGGTTCATGATATTCGTGCAGTTCAATAAATGTCAACGTTACGTGATTAATAAATAAAACATAATTCTGTATAACAAATGATAAAAGGACTAAGTCTGCCTGTGTTGGTAGGGCTACTACGAGCCACACACTCTCGGGCGTGATCCCACTACTGCTCGACACGGGTGCTTTTGGCTGCTGGGTTTCCCCCCTGGCCCGGTTCACACCTCCTTAGTCAACCTGGACGCCCTTGGCTCCCCAAGGGTGGCCATATTGATGCCAAGCTTAGTGCGGACACCCAATCAACATGGGTGATCCCGCAACAGTGATCCCAACCTCAAGCCATCCTATAGTCCAAGCTACCGAGTCGCCGGTTTACAGAGCCTCGCCACAGACCCCAGCTCTTGTCTTTGTGCTTGGAACGACTTAAAAGTTAGCTGAACCAAATACTTTCGTCTTTTGTTTTTCTTTCTTTTTTTCTTTCTTTTAGATTGAAGGCGTTTTAAGCAGAGAAAGTTTTGCCTGAAATCTCAAGCGTTTTTCTTTGTAACTCAAGCATTTCGCTTGCTTTCTCAAGCAACCTCCGTAGATGGATAGACTTGCGCTTGCTAAGTCAAGCAGTGTACCGTCACCATGGCAACGGCGTCGGTCGCTTACCGTACTGGTCACGATCCTTCGAATGCGGGCGTTGACCAGGAACTCGGCTTAATATTTTATCAGCTAATATATATATATATATTTTTCACTGTATCAGATTCTGTAATTTTCTTAAAATTATATTCAAAGAAATTTAAATTAACTGAAAACGAAAGAACAATTTACCTCTTACTGTAGTTACTCCCCATCTCTCTAAATCGAGAATATATGTTTTTTTTTTTTTTTTTTTTTTTTTAATAAAGAATATTTCAAGTGAAAAAAGTCTGAGGAATTCTAGCAACATTCTTCTGTTGATATTGTATTCGATTATTTGTTATATTTAACCTCATAAAATCGGATATATGGGAATGGGTAGGCCTATATTTTAATTCAGGGATGCTCAATTGTTTTGATAACACGTCAGAATGAAAGGGCTGCCAATCGGAAGTGTGTCATTGTTTTAGAGGCACTTTATATGATATAGGAGAAAATATTGCGCTTTGTTAAGATGTTCGGGTAGATTTACTCTGCCATCTTGATGCAGCACTAGCGTGTCAGTTGTTTTGAAATGCGCGCTCAAACTGTTACCAACCGCTAATGGAATAAACTCCACTCGATTTATGCATTAGTTATCTCTTTCCGAGATTGTTGGTGGGAATACTTGTTTATTGCTTTTAAAACCCGAGTATGTATATGCTGTGCGTTATTTGACATTTCTATGTTCTCCAATGACTGTTATGATTTGTACTTTACAGAAAGACACTTCCACATGTCTGGCATCACTGAACAGGGCCTGCCTGGCTTGGAAAGCGTTTTAAACAGGGAACGGTAAAGTTCTTGGCCTTTTGGCAAGAATTCTTGCTCAAGTGCTCCCCTGCTTAAAACGCTATAAGTTACGACAGGTATGAAAAATAATCCTAAATACAACTTCATGTATGTATGTATATATGTAATGTATGTTGTGTGTGTGTGTGTGTGTGTGTGTGTGTGTTTGTTTGTTTGTTTGTTTGTGTTCATATTGTCATACCCATTAAACGCATGTTATATGTGGCATATCGTGCATCTAGATTGTCTGGGCGCGAACTCCTGCCACCACGTGCGTCGGTCCAGAGAGATTTTTGGTTTATAACACGCTATATACCTTACCGAGAAGGATATAACTTGAAAGTAGTATCATTAAGGTATATGCGACTAAAAATGTGGAACGCTTCACGATTTTGCGTGTCATCCTTGCGCAGGGGCCATGCTAATCTTCTCTGTATCGTTCCAATTTTAGTATATGTACTGCCGAAGCAAGTACATCGGGTGGGAAGCTTTTAAGGAAATTTTGAACTTCTAGTCCATGACTTTTGATGTTTTCCCTATTTTCTGTCGCCTGGTGTAGTTGCCGATACATGGGATACGTACAATCCACATCAGTTCATTTTAATATTTTTACTAACTTTTGGAAATTTTGTACTTTTAGACTATGATTTTTTACTTTCCGTATTACGTATCGCCTTGTTTAGTTACCGATACGTGAGATACGTACTATCCACTTCGTCAATTCTTCTCATTAGGTATAGTTTATCACTTACATACATCAGTAAATTTTTGGGAATCTGTGCTGGCGATACAGTTAAACAACAAACAAAGCCAGTGGAATATACAGAATGAAATAAAAGGTTAATTACAAATCTCTGTGCTGGCTCCTAGGCGCAATGCCGGTACTGCTCGGTAATATATATATATATATATATATATATATATATATATATATATATATATATATATATATATATATATATATATATATATGTATGTGTGTGTGTGTGTGTGTGTGTGTGTGTGTGTGTGTGTGTGTGTGTGTGTGTGTGTGTGTGTGTGTGTGTGTGTGTGTGTGTGTGTGTATGTGTGTGTGTGTACATATATGTGTGTGTGTGTAACATATACATACATATGTGCGTTTATTGTAAACATTAAAATGGAAATGTAGGAGACTAAACAAGTGGACAATGAAGTTAGAATATTTGGGAATAGCACAAAGAGGGTAAAGACAGTACCATCGGGATATATATAAAAAAAATTATAATAATAACACAACACAAACAACCAGATTAACTGGAAAAGATTGGGGGAAGCTTACGTGCTTGCGGTGTAAAGGTACAGCACTAATCACATATATATACATATATATGTGTGTGTGTGTATGCATGTATATATATGTATGTATATATATAATATATATATATCGCGCCTGTGTATGTATACAGATGCTATATTTGCATTGTTAAAATTAATCGTAAACTATTTTGAATCGTATGTAACGTATATTTCTAAAGAAATAATGTATATGGTAAAGGACCATATTTCTGTAAACGATATACGACATAAAATTGGAAAACATCTCGACATTTATTACAGCTTGTATGCTCATCTGTTTTATTTTTTCTAGGTTTTCATCTAGATGTACTTGCCGTTTCCGCGAATAGCATAGTTATACATCAACAAACGCCAATGATAACACATAAATAGTAGGTTTTCTTAGAAATGTATATAAAGAAAACTATTTGATGGGAGACTATTTCATTTACGCACACGCATATATATATATATATATATATATATATATATTATATATATATATATATATATATATATATATATATATGTGTGTGTGTGTGTGTGTGTGTGTGTGTGTGTGTGTGTGTGTGTGTGTGTGTGTGTGTGTGTGTGTGTGTGTGCATATATACATGTGTGTGTGCGTGTGTGTGTGTCCGTGCGTGTGTTTGTAGTATATACAAGTGTTGTATATTATACTGCAGTGTATAAAGGACAATATTTTGCTGACGGTAAGAAAAAAAATACGTAACATTTCTCATAATATGGCAGTAACACAAAATATACAAGTATCTATCTTTATATATTTGATTATTAGGCTTTATGTGAATGAAGCTTCACTATTATTAAATAAAAAATTTTCATTTGCGATGTTTTCTCTGGTGGAACAATTACGGCAGTGTCATTCCAATATTAATAATTTAACATGATTACAAAAAGTAACCCAGTAGTATGTTTTCCATTATGACAATCCTTAATTATCAACAAAATGTGACAAAGTTGGGAGCGTAAAGCAGGTGAATGAAAGGGTACTTTGATAGAGGGTTTATAGGGGGAGGTAGATGTGTGACCCCACGAGAGACCCGTGCGCTGCCAAGGCGGAGCGGTGACCTCCTCTGTTCTGTTTTTCTTCTGTTTAAATATTCTGATGAATGGTTAGTTTTACATGCCCCTATAAACAACTTATTATTTCGTCAATGTAAGTACATTGAGTAGGTGCTTTAAAATCACTCCAAGCACAGGTTACAAGAGCTGGGGTCTGTGGCGAGCTCTGTAAACCGGCGACTCGGTGCTTGGACTATAGGATGGCTTGAGGTTGGGATCACTGCTGCGGGATCACCCATGTTGATTGGGTGTCCGCACTAAGCTTGGCATCAATATGGCCACCCTTGGGGAGCCAAGGGCGTCCAGGTTGACTAAGGAGGTGTGAACCGGGCCAGGGGGGAAACCCAGCAGCCAAAAGCACCCGTGTCGAGCAGTAGTGGGATCACGCCCGAGAGTGTGTGGCTCGTAGTAGCCCTACCAACACAGGCAGACTTAGTCCTTTTATTGAATAAGGCTATTCAGTAATTACGTAAAGTTGGTTAATTCAATTATTTAGTTGAAATTTGTTCTCAGGTCTATAAGCGTTGTTTGTATGATTGCATATATATATATACAAGTGTGTGTGTACTTATATATTTATACATACATATACCGGTATTTATGAGCACATGTGTGTTGGTGGGCTGTTTTTTTTCTGCTTGTATTATTTGATGTATTATTCTAATGTGTATCATCAAGAAAGGCAAGAAGCAAGAAATGTGATGCTTCTGTAAATGGTTGTACGTTGGCTTGTCGTTTTTCTGTCTGCAAGGTTGCGTTTGTGTGCATGTCAATTTCAGTCGTTGATAAAGCATCTGCATTCATGTGTGACCCTTGTCATCTAACATCACAAAATATGTGTACACATGTCTACTTATAGACAAGGGAACTAGGGAGCTGCCTCCTCAGTCTCATAGGGCCCGCGCGTCGGAAAAAAATATATTAAATAACATACCAGTCTATTTAAATAACTGATTCCTTCGCTATAGTTGCCTGAGAAAAGAGTTCGATCACACGGTGAACAATTCTCATCATTTTAACTAGGCAGGGTCGAAAATACTGTGTATAGATACTAATTGTAATATTGTTCCTTTATCCCCACATTCCCAGACGGATCAAACACAACCGACGTCGGCGGTTTTAGATCAAAACCCCAAATAAAACAGAAGCAATATTCTTTAAATGTAAGAACATGCAAAACTAGCCTAAACAAATTCAGCAAATACGATTGTTTTTCGCCGATTCAGTTGTGTTTACAGGAGGGTAGGGATTATGATCCCGGGGTAGCGGTTCCTCCAAAAAGGGTTTTAGTGTATGCGTGTTATACATATGTGTATGGATATATATATATATATATATATATATATATATATGTATATATATATATATATATATATATATATATATATATATATATATATATATTTATGTATATATATATGTGTGTGTGTGGATATATATCTGTGTATGATATGTGTGTTTTATATATGTCTGTATGCGTATATATTTGTGTGTTGTGTATGCATGAATTATGTATACGTGTGTGTGTATGCTAATATATATATATATATATATATATATATATATATATATATATATATATATATGTATATATATATGTATATATATATATATGTATATATATGTATATATATGTATATATATATATATATATATATATATATCCATATATATATTATATTATATATTTATATATATTTATATATATATTATATATATATATATTATATATATATATATATATATATCTATAATATATATGTATATATAAATATGTATAATATATTATTTTATTTATGTATTGTATTTATGTATGTATGTGTATATAT